GAATAGTTAATTATGTAAATGTATATATATATCCGTATTTCTCTTGTGACATAAATATATCAATTAGGATAACGATAGTAACTGTATAAAGTTCCCCAATTGTACTTCAAAGCGTTTTAAAGCTTACATTCTCTCCACCTAGGCGTACCACTAATCCTGATATGTCAATTCCTTTAATACCGTCAATTCCATCCTCATGGATCTCGGAAACATAAAGTTAACCGAGTCTCATTCCTCGCAGGTCTCAGAGGTAACACTTCAATCTGAGTTGCAATCCTCGCAGGTCTCGGAGATACCACTTCAATCCGAGCTGCATTCCTCGCAGGTCTCAGAGATAACACTTCAATCTGAGCTGCATTCCTCGCAGGTCTTGGAGATACCACTTCAATCCGAGCTGCATTCCCCGCAAGTCTCAGAGATAACACTTCAATCCCAGCTGCAATCCTCACAGGTCTTGGAGATACCACTTCAATTTGAGCTGCATTCCTCGTAGGTCTCGGAGATACCAATTCAATCCGAGCTGCATTCCTCGCAGGTCTCAGAGATAACACTTTAATTTGAGCTGCAATTCTCGCAGGTCTCGGAGATACCACTTCAATCTGAGCTGCATTCCTGATCTGTCAATTCCTTTAATACCGTCAATTCCATCCTCACGGATCTCGGAAACATAAAGTTAACCGAGTCTCATTCCTCGCAGGTCTCAGAGGTAACAATTCAATCTGAGCTGGAATCCTCGCAGGTCTCAGAGATACCACTTCAATCCGAGCTACATTACTCGCAGGTCTCAGAGATAACACTTCAATCCGAGCTGCATTCCTCACAGGTCTCAGAGATAACCCTTCAATATGAGCTACATTCCTCGCATGTCTTGGAGATACCACTTCAATCCGAGCTGCATTCCTCACAGGTCTCAGAGATAACACTTCAATTTGAGCTGCAATCCTCGCAGGTCTTGGAGATAGGGTTGTTACAATAAGCCCCTGGAAAAAATTGTATTTTTAGTTGGAGCGATCTGCGTGAAAAAGAAAATTTTTGGACTCCCGGTTTAAAAAGTTGTATGAGCATCCATGTTTTATCTTGACATCTCGGTTTAATGGGAAGTAAGTGAAATATTTATTTTATGTTGTTGTGCATTATGATTTTGGTTTTAAGATAAACCATGCTTGGGCTATATTTAATAAATATATTTTGCTACCTACTTTTAAACCTGGCTGGGGGTTTCCCTACTGGTTGGCATATACGTCCCTCTCCTTCACCACTGACTATTCGTGCCTACTCTAATGCTGACTTGGCTGGCTGCCTAGACACCCATTGCTCTACCTCCAGTTATCTCTTCTTTTTTCTTACCACTCTCATCTCTTGGTGTTCCAAGAAGCAGCCAACCGTTGCCCACTCCAGTGTTGAATCCGAGTACTGTTCTTTAGCTCGTGCCTGCGTCGAAATTGTCTGGGTTAGTTGTCTTCTCCATGAGCTTGGCTGCCCGGTTACATTTCCTACTGTCATCTACTGTGACAAAATCAATACCACCTATCTAACTACAAATCCAGTTCCACGCTCACACACAGCATATTGAATTGGATTACCATTTTGTTCTTGAGAAAGTTGCCCATGGCAGTCATCGTGTTCAATTTGTTCCTTCCACTAATCAAGTTGCTGACCTCTTCACAAAAAGTCTTCACAAAAGTCATCATCTCTAGCTCTCTGAAAAACTCGACCGTCGAGGTCCGCTGTCTAGTTTCAGGGGAATATCACGCAATCAACTCATGGCCGTTAGGCCCTTCTTCCATTATAGGAATCCTCTGCATTGCAGGAATCCTCCTTCCATATTTGTATACGTGTTAATATTGATTTACCTTCCTTGTATTGTTGATTTAGTTTCCTTGTATATCTCTGCTAGGGTTTTCAACTATGTATAAATCTCATATATCACACTTATCAAATAAATCCAAAATACAAAATTTACACCCCCTTCTCTCTCTCTCTCTCTCTCAATCATCTTATGTGCCACAGCCCACTAACCCTCCACTACACCCTAATCTCTCCACTGTCAGATCGATCTCAACCTTCATAACGAAGAGGACAAGGATGTAAATTTCAAACCACCACCTAAACCCAAAACCTAGTAAGAGGAAGGAGAAGAAATTTGAGCTCTTTGAAGAAGCAAAGAAAAAAAATAAATTTTTAATTCAATAGTGAAGCATGTGGCTAACATGTGATTTTTTAAACAAAGATTTGGATGAAAATTGCCAAAACTAATGGTGGGGAGTAAATTGGCAAGAAAATTTTGTATGAGGGTTAAACTGTGTAAATGTATGGATTTTGTAATTTTCTTTTGGCTTCCCTTGACAAGTTTGTAATAGGACAATCATTGTATTTTCTCAAACTCATGTTTAGATTAAGAATTTCATCTCTAGGTGTTCTTATTTGGCGACATTATGATGGACAACATTGTGTTTGACAAAGGTAAGTTTTGAATTGCATTACATTGCATTAACCTATTCTTGAAGATTATGACTAGTCATCCTTTCTCCGTATGACTAGTCATCCTCCATATGACTAGTCATCCTTCCTTCATATGACTAGTCAACTTTTGCGTTGGTAAGGTTTTCTAGGTCACTGTTTCTAGCTGGATCCTACCCACTTCTTTGTCCTATTCTACAAAATTCTCTGCTGCCTTGTACGATTCTAACCTAGGGATTTTGGTGTAAAAACAGCTACATTCCTCATTTTGCAGTCGTCACTTTTGTAGGCAAGTTTTGGAAAGTTTCTCTGTAAACTTTCTCTTCTTCCTCAAGTGTAACCGTCATATTTTTCATCTTTGAGTTTTCCAAAATGTTTCTTTTTGAAAACTGCATTTGAAATATGAAAACCTCATCGTGCTAGATCAAACACTCTCTCATATATATATCTAGGTCAAATTTAAGATTGATTTCTTCAAGAGTATGGTTTCTTGAAGAAATTGATCATTCTCCTTTGAATCCAAATTTTGGTTTCTATCTGAGTTCGAGCTTGCAATCTGGTGCCATAGGATGAATGAGCTGGAAAAGGAGCTACCATTACCGTGAAGAACTGAGCTTCAAGCTTTGCTAAGTTGGAGAAGAAGATTGCACAAAGGAGGTATAGCTCATCTTCCTAAATAGATCTAGGTTTTTCTTGAGCTTGCTTGTGCTTCTTTATAAGAATCTTTTTCTACTTAGTGGATTGTCTGGTCGGTTGATGACCCCTAGTTTTTCCCATTGGTGGGTTTCTGGGTGAACAATTTCTAATTGCATCTCTGTAATTTTTCTGGGTTTGTGTTCTTGGTGGTTGACGAGTCATCATATGAATTCTGGGTTTGTGTCCTTGTAGTTGACTAGTCATCATTATCTGTTGTTTGGTGTTCACTTGATATGATGATTTCACACACTTTCACCATAGTTGTTGCTAGCACAGGAGATGCCTAGATTGACGGGTCATTCTGAGTGTCTAGGTTGTCACTAGTAATCTTTTAGGGTTGTAGGTACATTGTGGCATGCTCTGTGTGTATTCTTGATTGTGGTTGTTCATGACTAGCAGTTGACTAGTCATAAGTGTTTTTGGTTAAGGTCTAAAATGTGTGAAGATTCTTGCGTTTTGTTTAAGTATCGTAAAATTTACCCCTCCTCACCTAAGTACCAATTTCAAACTAGCAGGAAAACAAGTTCAGAGTGGAGATTTCGACAAGCATGATAGTTTATAATGTTTTTCAGCAGAGAACCCTTTTTTAGTACAAGCGATTGTCGAAACTTAAATGAGAGGGGGGTTTCTCACACATACACACCACCAAGATGTAATGGGAGTTTGAACCCGGACTATATTAGTCAACAAATTAAAGTCATTTTCCACTGGGATAGGCTTTTTTATTTTTTTATTTTTTGGCAATTCACTTGGCTAGACCTGTTTGGCAATAATGTGTAAGATTTGAGATGGTATTCAACCAAGGGTATATTACGATTTGGATAAGAGTGTTTTGGCTGTTCATGGAGTGTTGAAACTTGAAAAGGTGCTTGTGTAATTATCGTGATATGAAGGAGTTATATAAAAACCCTAAAAACCTCAAGGGTAAATTACTCTTCGTTGAATTTGTTTAATTACGTCAACGAATGGAAATAGTAAATCACAAATCCTCACACTTCGCGGACCCAATTGCTTTAACAAGTGAGTACTCAATTGGGTATAGTAAATAAAACAGAAATTGCAAAGCCTCTCCTGAGTAAGCCCCTGTAAATTGAATTGAATTTATAATTATAATGGTTTGGTTTAAATTTATAATTATAGTGGTTTGGTTTAATTTGTTAATTGCAATGCGAGTTAATGGTGATAAGGGATTGCACCTGTTTAAGCAAGAAAATCTAACAATGTTGTCACTGACAACTTTGATTGTAGAGGGATTATTGAAGTCAGAGTTGGAAAGGGCCACAAAGACTTTAAATTTTGACTCATAAAGAAAAATAAAAACTAAAAAAAATTCAGTTGAGAAAAATAAAAGTGGGAAAAAAATACTTTTGAGAGATTACAATAGTTGCCAGCATAATAAAAGTGAAAAAAATTGACAATTAAAAGAAAAAGGCATATCGAAGAGACGGAAAGAAGAGGGAGGAGAAAAGATAAAGAAAAGAAGAGAAAGAAAAAGTGTCCTAAGTGGAGTTAGCTTCAGAGGGTCAATTCATAATGTGGTCGGGCACAGACAAAAGCAAGTGTGAATGAGTTGAAAAAACACAGACAGAAACGAACCAGCCGTAACTGGTCCATTACAAGACTCTTCGGATTAGACGCGTTTTTGGGTTTACAATACGGTTTGGGGCCTATCCCAATTAAAAGACTCTTCGGATTAAAAAAAGACTCTGTAATGAGCGTATGTACACGGTATATAATATATATATATCCTCACCCATTGCTTTAACAAGTGGTTCTTCACTCAATTGGGTATAGTAATTAAAACAGAAATTGCAAAGCCTCTCCTAAGTAAGCCCTTGGTAAGAATGGCCGTCTCCGCAGATGCAGCTGTTGTGGAACTTCTTGATAGCAGTAACTATCTAGATTGGAGTGTATTGGTTAAAACTTACTTGTTGGCTCAAGACCTTTGGGATGTAGTGGAAGAAGAAGAAGAAGAAGAAGCTGATGATGAGTTCAAAGCTTGGAGGAAGAAGAATGCCATGGCTTTACATAAAATCCAAATTTCGTGCGGGCGGGAAGCTTTTTCCCTCATTAGAAACACCACTTCAGCCAAAAGCGCTTGGGATACTTTGGCAGAAAAGTTCAAGCCAAAACCATTTCTTACAAGTAAGTCCCCAGATCATCTTGCCGCTTCATTACTTTTCCTAAATTTACCTTTTTTGGCTTTATTTATTTATTTTAAAATAGCTAATTTCCCCCTGAATCACAAAACTACCAATTTATACCCCATGCTCATATTCCGAGCAATTCCATTCAAGATGTCGGGCAAAACAAATGCTCATCTCACGCCATATTCTTTACAAAAAAGTTGCCCTGAAAGTCTTCAAAAGTGAGTCAATTACTAAGCACCTAACTTTGCAAAATGACAAACGACCATGAGTCTCTTAAAACGCTACTTTAATTGACGACATAGTTGATGTAAATGGTAGGAATTACAGTTAGGTAAATCAACCATTTTTGTATATTTTATGGGAAAATTTGGGTGAAATAAAAGTTTGGGGGTAGATTGACACAATCTATATAATTCAGGAGGGAGGGAAAACGAAGTATACTTCATATATTAATGCAACAAACGTGCTGCAAAGAGTGGAGGTTTTACTTATAAAAAAAAATTGGAGGTTTTAACTTCAGCCATCCCCTTCAATTGAGGTACATCCCTCCAACCACATTATTGAGGAGACACTTTATAGGGCCATTTCGCATATAATAAACTAATAAATAATATGCGAATGACAGCGAAAATGTTGGGAATGATAGCTAAAAGTAATAAAAACTAATAAATAATTTGGCAGTAGATATGATTTGTTTACACTCCTACTATATGCATGGGTACAATTCGTTCAATTATTAACTCAAAAAATAAATGGATTATGCGCAGGATATGACAATGACTACAATCAGTATAAACCGTTGTTCGATGCTGTGAGGAGTGGTGATTGGAATAAAGCGAAGGATTTTCTTACCCTACATCCCAATGCAATAAGAGCAAGACTTCCATCTAGAGGCATGATAGCTCTTCACTTGGCAACTGAACTAGAGCACGAGCATATTGTGGAAGAGTTGGTGCAGTTGATGTCAGAGGAAGACTTGGAAATAACAGATAATAATGGTTGCACAGCTCTTGCTATTGCTGCAGGTAGAGGAAATATCAAAATGGTTGAATGCATGGTTAGAAAGAGCAAGAAAATACTTAGTATTCCCACTAAGAAGGACAATATGACTCCAATTCTCTTGGCTTCTCTCAACGAACGATGGGATGTCGTTGATTATCTTTACTCCGTCACTCCCCTCCAAGATCTAATGCCAGAGAAAGGACCATACGGGGCTGGACTTCTTTTCTACTATATTCTTGGCATGAAATTTGGTAAGAGTTTTAATTAATCTTATAATAATGAAATTGATTACTCGCTTTTTTGCTTAATTATAAAAACTTGTTTTTCTCTACTGCAGGTATTGCTCTGGAATTAATTCAGCGTTGCCCACAATTGGTCTTTACCAAGACCAACATTGGGGCATTCCCGTTGGAAGGATTTATGCCTTCTGCATTCCAGAGTGGAATACGCCTCAAATTATGGCAACGATGGATCTATAATTGTTAGTATCCACTTTCTCTTTCCTCTTACAATTACATATATTTTCTGTCAAAATATGAGAGGCTAAAATATGAGACTATGGGAGAATATGAGAATGAGAGAAGATAATAGTTATTCAAAATTGACTGCGCTTTTGAATTTGAGCCTTGAAACTTTAAAATAATAGTTATTGATCTTAATGGCTAAGAAATGACAACTTCAGTGACTTTAGCGGAGAGGGAGGGCGGGGGGTTGTTCAAAACATCAGACAAAGAACGAAATGGAACACCCAGATGAGAGATGTGGAAATGCTGATTTGGTTTTTTTAATTATTGTTTTAACTTCTCATCTCAAAGAATTGGAAGGGCTTGAGCGGTGGGTCTGTTGGCTGCGAGAGGTTTCGGAACAAAGGAAGAAGATGAAGGATCAGAATTGTTCTTTTCTTTTTAATACTCTATTTTCAATTAAGAGTTAAAGGTATTTTCACTCTGTTATCTAAGAGGACATGTGACAGAATATTAACATAGGAACATGAGGGGACATGGAAAAAGTTGACAACCCAAAACATATATATGCAAATCAATTATGACGAGATATCCATAATTGTAATGAAATAGTAATTCAAAATACATTGATTGAGGTTAATTATGTTATTTTTTGAAAGGTATACATATAGAGCGTGCCATCAGTGATATTCGTGTAAGTGTTCAAAATGAAGGAAATGAAGAAAGTAATCCAACGAAAATCACTTGGTCAGGTATGTTGCAATAATTTCTTCTTACGTTATTGAACTCTTTGCACTTTGTAATACTACGTTTGTTTTTGCATTAAGAATACTGAAGAATAACTAAATTTCATGAGCAAATAAGAATCTGTCATTGCATAGTTGTGAAGGCAATGGAAGGAAACCAATTTGTATTAATATGTGTCGAGACAAGAATTATGATATTTAGGTGTGTGGAAGCAAATATTTGAAGATCCTAGCTAGGTCAAATAATTAGTTCTATCAATTTGGGGATTAATTGTTTAAATTGGGGATTCTTGCAATAATTAGGATTTGATTCTAATTAAATCTCTAATTGGTTCAATTTCTCCAAATTACGGAAAAATAATTCCTTTTCATGTGAGGGATTATTCTTCCGAAATCCTAACCACCAAGACCTCTATAAATATGTGGCCATGCACATGACACAAGGTATGTCTACAACTCTGCAAAAATTCCCTCTCACCCTCATTGTTGCCGCCACTCTCTCCCTCCCTCTCACAAGGTTCCGGCCTTCACACATGGTTATAACCATCTGGTTTTCCCCGTGAGAAAAAGATCTCCTGCCTTTCAATTATTTCTACATTCTTCTCATAATCATTTAATTGACTTAGTCATCGGAGAGCCTTTGGCCAACATCCCTTGGGTTTGGTCCTTTCACTCCATGTTATTTTGTAGGGAGAAAGAGGAATGAAGAGGAAGAAGGGATCACGAGATGAATATTCTCTAGGGAGGAAAATCACTCCCACAAATTAGTGTTTTCATTGAGAGCATGAGTTATACTCAACACGTGCTCCAAAACAGTTTCCATACTTTGTTCACTCAACTGAAGCCTTCCAAACAACCATGGTTGGAAGCAAACGCACGAGGAGAAGGTCCACCTCAACGACGCAATCCGCAAAAGACCCAAGCCCTTCATCCCAAGGTTTCACGGTGGAAACCATGCTGCAACCGCAAAGGGTGCCTTTTAAACCTGCCTTGCAGCTCCCACGTGCTACCGTAGAACTCTCTCAGCCACTTGCAGATGTGGCTGGAATGGCACAATACATCCACAAAGACCTAGCATTGGCACCTCCATTCACGACAATTCGATTGCTGCTGTGAGTCATAACTCCGTTTTGGAACAAATCCTTGCATTCACTCCTTTGCCGTCACACTTGACATACACACCCGTGTGCCTTTGGGCTCTGCGCACTTCTCTTTTTTCTGATCCATGCAATTAGGTGGACCTTAACTTATGAGTTGATCAACTTACACAGAAAGTCGAAGACCAACACAATTTGGTTGCCCAGCTCCCACTACTACATTTTACACTTTGCGCGACGAAGGGACTTTCGTTGTGCAAAGTAACATTTCGTCGCACATAATTATGCGCGACAGAAGATTCGTCGCGCAAAGATTGTGAAGAAAGACTTTGCATGACCAAATAATTGACTTCGTCGTGCAAAACGGGGCGACGTGGCACCTTCGTTGCAGAAAAGTTGTAGGGACGAAACGACGGTGCGACGCACGAATTTTTGTGCGACGAAAGGCTTTTCGTCGCGCAAACACTGCGCGATGGAAAAGTTGTCGCGCAAGATTAGTATATCACTATTTTGCGCGATGAAAGTACTTTGTTGCACTAAATTGGCGCAACAAAGGATTCTTCGTCGTGCAAACCTTGCGCGACGAAAAAGCATCTGTCACGCATACATACTTTGTGCGACGAAAACATTCGTCACGCAAGCATAAATTAAAGTGTATAAATTATTATTTTCTCAATTTTTTTTTAAGTGAGTTTGAGCGACGAGAAACATTTCGTCGTGCAATATATATACATATTATTTAAATTTAATATTACGTTTTTTTTTTTAATTTTGTAAAAAAATAAATTTGGTTTTTTTTTTTTTGTAATAAAATGAAATTGCAATCCAAAAATGAATTGTAAAGAATATATTTATTATATAAAATTAAAGAAATGTAGAATACAAGAGAAATATTTAAAAAATAATTATGAAAATTATAAACTAATCAAATAATGTTCCAAAATCTACATGGTCGTCAGGCATATGCGGCTTGGGGATCTGGGGGTCTACAGGGGTCGTGGTCTGCTGGGGATGCTCGGGGTGGACAGTCTCGGATGTCGACGCACCAAAATTCGGGATTGGAATGCCTGACCGCGCGAGGGACTGCAGAATCACCGACATCTGACCCTCAAGCTCGGCAACCCGCGATGTCAAAACAGTCACCTGACTGTTTGCCTGCGATGATGACCGCGGTCGAGGTTCCCTATGTCGGGCATTCCCCATCCCTTTACAATATGTTCCCGGCCTCCTCCCGAGAGTCTGATCCAATGTCTCCATCAAGATTTGAAATCCAGCATCCTGTGGAGGATCCACTAACTCGATCGGAGTCTCGAGAGGAAGTTGGGAGGCAGACTCCTGAAGAACCAACTGGCTCCTCTCCACCATCGTCGTCTGTTTAACATAACATAAAATATAAATTAGAACATGTATATAAATTGAATGCGTAACATAAAAATTAAAAAAAAATACTTACATGAAGGGACTCGCCCAACTCATTCCCAGGTCAAACATAGACGTCACCAAAGACGTCGATCTCTGGGAATTTCGACCCCCCCTTAAATTGAATAAGAGAAGAAAAATATTAGTATGAACAAAATAAATTAATAATAATGACATATTAAAAATTAAATAGAAATGATATTATTATTACCCGCCGCCGTGCATCAATCCTATATGAGAAGGGTCTGGAGCCGGAATGGTGGAGAAGAGTCTTTTTCTTCCTATTGCTCTTATTCACTTGGGTTTTATTCTGTTATACAAAAAATAAAACATATTAGTTTAAATATAAAAAATTAAATAATAATGAAATATAAAAACATTAATAAAAAATATGAAATAATTAAACAAATACCACATAATCGGGCACCTGAAAATGAGTGCAGAGCCATGCCCAACTATCCTCCTGCCCCTCAAGCTCCTTCGGGCAATCTGAAAATGGTGGTGCAAGTCGCTCTTCCACTGCTTGTGCCTCTCACTGAAGAGTCTGTTGATGTACGCCAACGACTCCTCGTTAAGGTCCTCTAAGTTATAGTTCATCTACAATAAATTACTTACATACATTAAGTAATAGAAATATATAAAATTTGAAAGAAAAATAATTACAAGGTAGGATACATATTGACAACTAGCCGCGAACCTCCATCTTGATCTTGTCAGGCATGACCTTCCAAGACTTCCAGTGCATCGGGCAATGGGTCTGAACGACGTGGCCAATGTCGTGGGCCAAGGAGCTATGCAACTCCGCTGTCGGTGCAGCCCGATGGCGCTCATCGTATCCGATGCTGATACGACTGTTGGTCACTCGGGTGACCTTTGCCATCTTCAGCTACCGACACGGCCCTCGGGTGTTCCTCTTGGTTGCAATGAGATATGACCATAATGTTCAATAAATAACAAATTTAACTATAAAATTCAGAATATAAAAAATTAGAAACAGAACTACAGTTGAAGGGATATCTATACCTGGCTGTGACCTCGAGGCAACAGTACCGTCGGTCGACGTCGTGTCGGTGGTGCTGCGGGCCGGTGCCGCCCCTAGCGCTAACAGGCTGCGCGACTGATGAAGCTGATGACGTAGGCGCCTAGGACACCCCTGGCAGTTGGTCCATTAGTGCTGGAGCAGTGGCAGCAGATGCCGACCGAGCCGGGGGCTCCGAACTCGATGTAGTCGTCACCGACCTACGACGTCTAATCAAATCTGACATCTGCACAATTTCCAAAGGGTACACACACACATTAGT